AGCTGTACGCATTCACGCCACATCTGCGAGGGGAGCTCGTCAGCATCTTCTTGGGAGAATTTTTTGCTAAATTGTGGGGGCGAAAATCGCGCACATCGGCATGCTTTTGGGAAGTTTCGGATTCCACCTTCTGCAATGTGTCTGCGCATGGTGAAGGTGGCTCGACCTCACACTCCTTTGCACACTTCATTTTTGCATTTGTGTTGTTGGGCTGTAAAGACGGTGATGAGTTCGCCGTAACGCCAAGGCAACTTTGATAACCCTCACTTGAGGGCATGTCAAGATTCTAAAATGTACCAATGAATACAACTTGAGCTAATCTAGTTTTGGCTTATAAAATGCAAAGATGGAGGAAACAAAAGTCCCCATCTAAACGGCAGCGAAAGTAAGTATTTTAGCAAAGGGTAAGCAAGCTCTCATTCCCACCATTCCATTAAGAACCATTTTTAGAATAGATCACAATTTTATAGTAAAATCACGCAATAATGCTAAAAGTGGTACTCGAAAACATGCCACGTAGTCTTCGCTACGTTCACACCGCGCGATAAAATGGTCTCGATATAACCGGGTCTAAGGAAAAAGAAGTTGACGCTACTTTACCTATTTGTTTTCCCCAGAATTCATACGATCAACTTGATCTGTGCACCTCTTCCTAAGGAAAATAATTAGTCGCGAAACTTATCTCAACCTATGAAAACAGTATAAAATGGTATAAGCCCAAATAGCCTAACAATTTACAGGATTCAAATTACTGTGTGTCAAATAAATTCTACCAAGAAAAGAGGAAATTGCTTATTGCTGACAAAAGCACTCGAGGTACGAACTCTTCACAGGGTGGACAAACTAGCCGCGCATTCCACCAAGCCATCTGCACAGACGAATTGCAGATTGAGCCTTCTTCCCTTCACTTCCTCACAAATTCATAATTTTCTTAAACATGCTCTCAAGTTGAGGCGAAATTAGAATAGCCAGTAAAACCTTTTTAAGCGCCTAACAATGAAATAAAATGCAATTTCGCTTTTAAAGTTGTGAAGTGTCAGCAGAGGACGAGGTGTTTTTATTACGAGACAAACGAAATAAAGTTTACTGCACTTGACGATGTTTCCATCGATAAGAATAGTCAACACGTTTGCGACATTAAAAATGATAAAGGATGGAAGTAAGCTTGTGAAGAAATAG